TAAGGCAATCGATGGCTTTTTGCAAGCTGACAACTATTACATAATGATGGAGAAGGCAATAAAGACGTAAGAGAAATATGACCTTTTTTATTTAAAAAAGAAATAACAGAATGATTCACATGACCCAGACGAGCATGCCATAAATCATATGAAGCACGTAAAAATTTGTTTTTAAGGGCTGAAATAAAAGCAGAGTTGCCGCGCTCCAGCACATATAGCCCTCCATCTCTTTTACCGGTTGCCACCACCCTTCCTGTTTGATGATTCTGGATAGTAATAAGATTATTAGTAAATGTAACGAAGAGAGGAAAATCAGACGTTAATTTACTTATGGAAAGAAGATTTTTAGTGAGGTGAGGGACAACCAAGACATCTAATAAGTGAATATTTGGAACAGGAGAAAGAGTACCGATGTGGGTAATGGGTAGGGATGCACCGTTTCCTACAATCACAGAGTTCTTACCCGTGTAATTTTTAGACTGATCCAGAATTGATGGGTCGGCAGTCATATGGGCCGAAGCTCCAGTGTCCAAAAACCAATCAGCAGCATCGGGTCCAGCAATAGAACATGACGTGTTAAAGGCTTCAGCAAGGTGAGCATGAGAAGAATCAGGTCGAACATACCGTTGGTTGCAGCGGTCAGCATAATGGCCCTCTTTGCGGCATATTTGGCAATGAGGTGGTCGACGACCCTGACTTGAGTGGGTTCGTCCTCGATTAGAAGAGTTGTTTTTGTGAGAATAAGAACGACCTCGCTGGTTGGTAAAGGAAGCAGGGTGACTTTCATGGGTGCGACCACGATTAGTGGCTATGAATGCTGTAGGAGTGGAGTCAGAGGACTCAAGGGAGCGCTGGAATAACTCAAAACTTTCAGTTTTAGAGACTAGATCTGCAAAACAGGGGATAGGGGTGAGAGCCATCTGAGCAGTAGAAAAAGCTGAAAATTCGGTGCCGAGTCCACGAAGGAACCAGTGCACTTTATCAATGTCCTCGACGGGTCTGCCAATGGCATGAAGTTGGTCACAAATTTTTTTGAAGGCACGGGCATACTCAGCAACAGGTTTTGTGCCACGTTTCATCAACTGCAAGTCATCCTTGAGTCTCAGTTCACGAGCTTTTGACTGATGGCTAAACGTAGTTTCCAACGCAAGCCAAACATCACGTGCAGTAGAGAGACCAACGACAACAGCCATGGCTTCCTCAGTGAGAGAGGAGAGCAGGAGACAGAGAAGTCGTTGATCGGCTGCTCTCCATGCCAAATATTTGGGGTTGAATGTTGAGGAGGTTTCTGGTTCAAAGCGAGGTGGTGGAACCATAGTTCCATCGACATAGCCCAGCATGTCTTGACTCTCAAGAAGAGGGAGAAGTTGGCTTTTCCAAAGAAGATAATTGGAGGAAGAAAGTTTGATGGTGATCATATGGATTAGAGTATTGAAAGGAAGAAGATGATAACAAGATTCGGAAGCCATAGAGAAGAAAGGATCAGGGTTGTTAAACCGAAAGGGCTCTGATACCATGTGAATGTTTGATTAATCCACCACACCCAAATGGTGTGAGAGTTCTCTTATTTATAATCATTTACAGAATACGGAAATAAGGTAAATTACAAATAATAAGGAAATAACGATAAAAGGAAAGAATAATAAATGAATACAATATATTTGCATTTAGTAAAAGGGAAAATATGGTAACCCGTAATGTAATGAACGGTCAACTATCCTTAACAGCCTCAAACCAAGGAGAGACTATTTCATGACTTTGCTTTGGGTCTCTCAAAAGGCCTCAAGCCTGGAGAGACTATTTCTGGATTATATTTCTTAAATTAGCTGATGTTAGACCATTTATCATCCAAAGAGACCATGCCCATGAAGGTGGAGCTTTTTTTCTTCTTTTTTTTTAATAATCTATTAGCTTGGATTAATATATTCTCGATTTGTGAAACTAATTTTCTTAAAAGATTTTTTTTTATGCCTATGATAATAATAGCATAGGGATGAAAATAATTTTCTACTATTTATTATTTATATTAAGAAACCAAAAAACTAAAAAGAAATTCATATTTAAATCCATCCGTTTGTTATATATATACACATCCTTTAAAAATTGTTTTGCTTTGTTTTGTTGGGGAAGTATTGATTTTGTTGAATTTATTGATTTTTAGAAAAATAAAAATGAAATATAAACATTATTTTGTAGAATTGCATTTACTAGAAACGTGGGTTTGGTTCATTCTAGAATTGCCGCATTTACTTTGGAATAATAAGAAACAAAACATCGCCGCGTGTAATCGAGAAATTTTAGTTACGAAACTAAGAAAGTGCCAATTTTTGCTTCGTCACGAATCAATATAGAACTGCTGAGGAGAAGCAGCCATCGAAACCCCTAAACCTTAATTCTTCACAGCATAAACTTGCAAATCGTTGCCGAGGCCTATTATTTTCTTTGAACCCACAGAGACGCAAAGATTTCGATTCTGGCACAAGCCAATACACTTGTCAACTCCGGTGAACAATCGTAGTTTTTTTTTTTTTTTCGTCTCTTGTTCCTTCAATGTTCTTGAATTTCGCTAGTTGATTCCAGAATTTTCGATCCTTTTTGTGTTCTCTGTTTCGCACTGGACTATTGTGTAATTGAACTCTGCTGAAATATGTCCTTTATGCCAGATTTTCGTATGTCTTCTCCGTTTCTGGTTTATTTTGGAAGTTTATCTCCATTATAGGTTGGATATAGGTACTATGCTGGTTTTTTGAACTCATACTTTTAGGTTTTGTCAAATATGGGAAGAGAAGAGAGCATGTTCTTCTTAGCTATCCATTTCTTTTGAACTCATAATGTCGGCTGATAATACACACGTTTCAGGGGCCTTTGGGGGTTTTACTGTTCGAAAGCTGTAGTTTTTTCTTTTATTTATTTGTGCAGTTGAACTTGTGTATCGTCTAAATCTGTTGCATGTATGTGTCAGGGGATTGAAAAGTTTGTGCAGTTCAGGGGCTTTTTTCTTCTGTAAACCGATTATTTTACCTTGTATTTTCCTGCTCTATTGCTTTAGGGAATACAAGTTCATGGCAACTGCAACTATGGCCACGGCTGCTGGTGCAGCTGCACTTCTATATTATACATTGAACCGTAAGTTGCACTCAAGTAGAGATCAAGATGATAGTGATGTAGCTGGTAATGATGCTTCCAGTCATGCTCTTCTGGGAGTTGATCGAGTTTCTCATAGACTAGTTCAAGCGCCTGCTACATGGCTCGAAACAATTTCAACATTATCTGAGACACTTAGGTTTACATACTCGGAGACTCTTGGAAAGTGGCCCATTGGGGATTTGGCATTTGGAATTAATTTTCTCTTAAAGAGACAGGTATGAAGCTTTTTGATGGTTGTAGTCTTTTAATGTATTAATTTAGCCTATTATATGTTGTAAGCTGGTTGGTTTTGCTTTCACTATTTCTCCCTTCAAAGCTGAATGTACTGATAAATCTGTTTCCTTAAAAGTGTTACTACTTTAAAGTGCGAGAGAAAGCGTTTTATATTCGTTTCACTTTTGGTTTATGTGATAATAGTGGTCTTCACTTCATTTGATCTCTAGTTCTCCTAATGGACATCAAGACTTGTATGATGAGTACTTATGCTCTAGTTGAATTTCATTGTTGTACCTTTCATATTTTCACTCACATGTAAGGAAAGGTCTACACTCTCCTATTAGTGGTTCATAAATAGAAAATCTTTATTATACTATCTAATTGTGGTCTATTTGTATGTATTTTTGAAAGAAGAAAACAGATGAGCTGATTATATTATCATGGTATACCAATGGTCTTGGAGTTTTTGGTTTTGAGGGAAAAGAGAGGATGGTTTATCAATTTTTACCTGGAAAGTTTTATCTTATGGAGGTTGGCAAGGCGTATTTCATTGTTGGGTTTGGAGAAAGAGGACTTATAAAAAAAAAAAAAAAAATTGAGCTTCAACTTCTCCAAACAAATTAAACGTTCATTCTTCAAAACTTCACATTTCTTATAGTGGGCAATGTATGGTTGTTTTGAGTGGCTTACCTACTTACTTTCTATCCCTATTTAGAGTCCTTAGCTGGATGAGTAAGGCTTGAGAAGTTGATGGGGTATTTCTTATAGGAGAGTGTTATGGAGGTGGGTTGCGCCTTGTGGATCGGGAAATGGTTTCTAGGCTGTTGAATTGGAGGGTTAGGCATTGGTAATGTGTGGGTGACTAACATAGCCTTTTAGGTTAAATGGCTCTGGTGATTTTATTATGAACCCGACACTTCATTGCACAAAGTGGCTTCATCCTTTTGATTGGATTGATTGGACTAAATGGGAGGGATACCTATTTTTGGGAGAATAAGTGGTTGGGGGGTGTCCCCTATGCACCCTGTTTCCTAATTTATACCAGCTGTTCCCTTCCAGGAATCATTACGTGGCGTTCTCTCGGAATTTTCGCCTTCTCCTCCTCCTTTGGGTTTCCGTCGTTCGTTGACTATTAGAGAAATGGCAGTTTTCTTGTCTCTCTGTCTTTGTTGGGAGTTTTTCTCTTTATACCCGAGAGAGGGGATATTTGTCCTTGGTTTCCTTGTCCTTCCAAAGGCTTTACATGCAGCTCTTTCTTCCGCTGCTTGATCAATCCCTCCCATGCTAATGCCTCTATCATTTCCTCAGTTTGTATGGTAGGCTTTTCGTGGACGGGTGAGCACGTTGGATCAGATCTCAAGCAAAGGATCCTCTTTGGTTGGGCCTCAGTGTTGTATTTAGGAAACTGAGGATCTTGATCATATTCTTTGGAGTTGTGTTTTTACTTGAGCTTGTGCTGTGGTTTCTTCGAGGCTTTCTAAACACTACAATTTTTAAGTGGAAGGAGAGCTCCTGTAGTGATGTTTGGTCTTTTGTTAGGTTCTCTGTTTCTCTTTGAGCCTCAAAATCTAGACCTTTCTTTTTTTTTTTTTTTTTTTTTTTTTTTTTTTTTTTTTTTTTTTTTTTTTTTTTTTTTTTTTTGTAATCACTCTGGCAGTCTTCTTTTTTTGCTTAGTTGGAGCCCATTCTTTTAGTTGGCTCGCCTTTTGTGGGTTTTTATTTTTTTATTTTTTGTAAGCTTGTATATTCTTTCATTTTGTTCACAATGAAAGTCAAGTATTTCACAAGAAAGGTATGGTGGGTTAGTAAGAAATTTTAGGTTTTTTTTCTATTGTATTGATCTTCTGTAACTTTAGTCTAGCTTTGTTGGTTGTTCATAAAATATGAGCTAAGGAGGGTAGAAATTATTAATTCTATTCCTATGGGAGAGGGGCATTGTTTGCATTTGGTGGGTTGGGAGGTGGTCTCTAGGCCCATGGACTTGGAGTGTTCAGACATTGATAATCTTAAGATGAGAAACACAACCTTGTTGGCTAAATGACTTTGACAATTCTATCATGAAGTCGATACCGTATGGTACAAGATTATTGTTGGTAAGTACAGGTCCTACCCCATTGAGAAAACCAGTGAGATGTTAAAAAAGGCACTTTTAAAAACCTGTGGAACGAGATTGTGTTAGAGCTTCGTATTTTTCCTCAGTTTATTCATAATGTAGTGGGGGATGGGCAGGATACTTATTCTTGGGAGGAGAAGTGGTTAGAAGATAAACCTCTCTGCTCCCACCCTTGCTTATACCATTTATTCTCCTTACAAAATCATTCGGCGGCTTCAGTTCTTGATCCATTGGATTTTCTGCTCTCTCCTCCGTTGGGTCTTAGACAACCATTGACCGTAGGAAGACGTGAGGTGTCTTGAATCTCACTCTCATCTTTTCCGACTTAGGCCCTAGAGGGGGGATGTCCTTTGGATTTTTGTCCAAAGGTTTTTTTTGTAGCTCTTTTTCTCAGTGTTTATCCAACCCTTTGTTTGTGAATGATTCTATTTTATCCTCAATTTGGAAGGTAAAGATTCCCAAGAAGGTGAAATTCTTCACATGACAGATTTTGCACTGAAGAGTTAATACCTTGAATCGAATCTCGGCCAGAGCGCCTTTGGTGGTTGGGCTACTTTATTGTATTCTCCACATGAGGGTGGCAGAGATCCATATAGTGTGGAGTTGTGAGTTCGCTCTTGCAGTTTGTTGCAATTTCTTTGAGGTGTTTGATTTTAACTTCGTTAGCTAACAAAGTTGCAAGAAGTCGGTGGAGGAGCTTATCCTTCATCTGCCTTTTTGTGATTAAGGGCGGTTTTTGGCAGACTAGGGGGTGTGCTATTTTGTGAAGGTTGTGGGGCAAGAGAAACAACATAATCTTCTGAAGGTGTGAGAGTTCTAATAGCGATGTTTGGTCCTCTATAAGATTCTCTGTTTCTCTCTTGGGTTTTGTTTTGAGACTTCTTTAATTATTTGCTAGGTCTTATTCCTCTTGATTGGAGTCATTTCTTGTATTTTGACTCTATTTTGTGGGCTTTTCTTTTTGCGTGTCCATATATTCTTTCATTTTTCTCCATCAAAATCATTCAAGTTTCTTCATTAAAAAAATCAATTCCTTATGAAATTCTCGGTTGGGATGTAGCCTGTGGAATTTGGAGGTTGGGGTTTTTTTTAGGTCAGATATTTTAGTGTTGAAGTAGTTTAAAGGGAATGCTGTTGTAACTTCCTTGAAGGGAATTTCTTTTTGTGGGGGTACTATGTTGTAATTTGTAATACTTGAAAGGAATACCTTTTTTTTTTCTTTATTACAACTTTTCAGACATCAACAGAGAGTTCTTGTTTTGAAAAAAAAAAAAAAAAAGTCAATAGAAGAAGCTAATGTTTGATCTGAACAATTTAAGTTAATTACAAATGCTGCTACTTATCTTATTGGTTTGGCCTTTGATGGGATGTGCTTAAGTGCAGGGAAACTTACATGTAAGCGGTGTATTTGGCAATGAAGATAGTAGTCAGCTTAAGGGTGCTGAAATGATTAGTGAGCTGAAGTACCTCTTGCACTTATTGACTTTGTGTTGGCACTTTTCAAAGAAACCATTTCCGCTGTTTCTCGAAGAAACTGGTTTTTCCGAGGAAAATGTTCTCCTTCAGGAACCAAAAGCAGGAGTAAGTCTTGATGAACTTCAGATAAACATTGAAATAGATATTGTACATTATACACTTTCTCTCACTTCTTCGAGTTCGATTTATCATTAACATTTATCACATTAATCGATGACTGCAGATTTTAAAGCCTGCTTTTACCATTATAGTTGACCATAATACAAAGTGTATTCTCCTGTTGATTCGTGGAACACACAGTATCAAAGACACTCTTACGGCTGCCACTGGAGCTGTGGTGCCATTCCATCATAGTGTTGTGCATGAGGGAGGGGTTAGCAATTTGGTTTTAGGATATGCGCATTGTGGAATGGTTGCAGCTGCTCGTTGGATTGCAAAGCTATCTACTCCTTGTCTTTTGAGTGCACTTGGTCAATATTCTGGTTATAATATTAAGGTTTGACATTTCTTCTTAGTCTACTGTGCTTTTTAGCAGATAAAAGTATAAAGAACAGAAAAAAAAACTTGATGGAAAAATCTTTTGTTGGTTTCTAATAGGTTGTTGGGCACTCTTTGGGTGGAGGAACTGCTGCACTTCTAACTTATATCTTAAGAGAGCAGAAGGAATTATCCGTTACTTCTTGTGTGACATTTGCCCCAGGTCTGTATTATTCTTGCATGGCTTCTCTGTGGTATTTTCTATTATGCCTATTATACTTGGACATGATGTTCCAACTTCTTTTTCTTATCAACTCTGCAGCTGCTTGTATGACGTGGGAACTAGCAGAATCGGGCAATGAATTTATCACTTCTGTTATTAATGGAGCTGATTTGGTGCCCACCTTCTCAGCTGCTTCAGTAGATGACTTGCGTGCTGAGGTATGTTTCAAGTTCATCTAATTGTTAAGAAATTTATTTGTTTTAAGTGTATTCAACACACATTACCTACAGGTGACCTACAGTATTACTGCATCTTAGTGTGTGTGTTAGATACTCACTAAGATGAATGAAATTTAGTTAAATTAACCACATCACTCTGACTTTTGCTGAAGGAATTGAAATATCTGGTGTAGGTGACTGCTTCTGCTTGGGTAAATGATCTGAGAAATCAAATTGAACGCACTCGAATTCTTAGCACTGTTTACCGTTCTGCTTCGGCATTGGGATCCCGTCTCCCATCCATAGCCAGTGCAAGAGCAAAAGTTGCTGGTGCAGGAGCCATTCTGAAACCAGTCTCTAGTGGCACACAGGTAACATGCGTTGCGCACATGTGATCCCTACATAGTAATTTTAATAAAGCCCGGAATTTGACAGAAATTTTGAAGTTGACGTGATTTGGCTCTTTGACTCATTAATAGTTTACTGAAACGTGATGCAGCTTGAAACCTTTTGGAATTCATAGACAGGCTTAGGATCTCGTGATCTTAGTTTAGACTTCAATTAAACGGGTCATACGATGCCCATACGTGGCCATTTGTTTTGCAATGATATTGGAACCCATGAAATTGATATCCAGAGGGTTCTTTTTTTCTTGACTGTAACGTGGGATGCCTGAACAGGCATCTTAGGATGTTCTTACTACTTTTCTATGAACAAACACAATCATCTAAAGATTTCAGGCATCCAGGTTCTCAAACAATTAGATATCGGACATCTAATGATGACCCTTAATATTCATGGGGACGTTATGGCTGGTTAGTTCCTGCGACTTGTTTATAATAGTTAAATTTATAATTGATTGTGTTTTGTATTTCTGCAGGTTGTGATGAAGAGAGCACAGAGCATGGCTCAGGCAGCATGGACACGACCCTCCCTCCATTTATCATCGTGGTCATGCATAGGCCCACGTCGTAGAGCCATGCCTTCTCACTCGACGGCTGAAGAAAATGGAAGTTCTCCAAAATCATCTCCAAGAAAAATGGAATCTTCTGAGCCACTTAGATCATCCCCTCAAGAAATTATTGAAGCTACCGAACTTCCGGAATCTTCAACTACAACGATACAATGGACTAATGAAATTGAATGTTCTTATTCTGAGGAGATAAATCCCGATGGCATGAGAGATGAGCTTGACGATGATGATCAGGCCCTCATGAGTCATATCCAGGATGAACAAATTACGGAAGTAGAGTTATGGCAACAACTTGAGCATGAACTACATGATAGGAGTGAGGCTGATGTTGCCAAGGAAATAAGGGAAGAAGAAGCTGCTGCTATGGCAGAAGTAGGCCAATCTGATAGCTTTACTTCTGGAATGAAGGAAGCACACAGATTTTTTCCTGCTGGGAAGATCATGCACATTATCGACACTCAATCAGATGCTCCTGATTGTGAAAGTGATAGCAGCTCCAGATCCAGCACCTCAGACAGTAGCCCACAGGCGCAGTCTAGGATTGGTATTTTCCTTACGTCAAGATCACTGTATAGCAAACTCAGATTGTCTCAGACAATGATAAGTGACCACTACATGCCAGCTTATAGAAGACAGATAGAAAAGTTAGTTAGAGAACTGGAGAAAGAAGAATGTTGTAATCGTGGAAGGGAGAGAGAAAACTGATTGTAGTGACACTACATACATATTTTCTAACCCAACTTCTGTACAGAATAGGATTTGCGTCCCCAATGACTTAGAAACGTATTGTCTTATACGAAAAGTCCTCCACTGCTATTGGTTGAATGAGGTAATTACTTTTTGGCATTGCTCAATATCCTTTGGGTGTAATCCGAATGACAATGGATTCAGCTCAAGCTGCTTTCAGAATGTTATCATCCTTGATGCAAACTTGTCTCAGTATCATTAAGTTGCTGATTCTTTATTTGCTTCTGTTTGAATGTTATTTTTTTACTGTTTGTTAAGAAGTCGAATCTTTCACTAGTTTCATCTTGTAATTATATTTGAGTTAGAAAGTTTATTTTATCATCATAATTGTATATTTTGATTGTAAGTATCACTTATTTTCTAATGTGTTTATATGATATGACCATAAAGTAAGACCCTCGAATAACCCTAAACCCTAAAAAGGTAAGACTCTATGGATCAAGTTTCAAAATTACTTAAAAGGGAATTTATCATTTACAATTTTATCTTATAAGATTAGGTTTTCAATACTCTTTTTGGTATAAGTTGTAGACGTATTGAATTGGCTAAAAATGTTATTCTCGCTCATATAAACTAAAAGACAAAACTCCCATAAACAAGAGTTCATAACTCATTCAGAATTAAGATGATTAGAGGTTTGTCTTAAGTTTGAATGAGGGGATTCGCCTTGTTGTTGGGGCCATAGCCCCTACCACTTATGTTACCACTTTAAGGGCAACTAAGGCTATAGAGGGAGGTGAGCCGAAGAACTCCAAGGACCGACAACTCCAACGACCAAAGTAGGACAGAAGAGGCGTTACGACCATATTGATCTACTCCGTCAGTCACCAGTGCACCCATAGTAATGTCATGGATACAAAAAAACAAAGAAATCTTTGTGGTGTCAATGGTGAACAAGTTCCCAAATGTTTTTTTTTAGAGGATTAACCAAAAGTCGTGTACTGCATGATACTAATTGAAAGAACTCAAAGTACAGTTGCAAGACTTGTTAGATAAAGGTTTCATGTGCCTCAATGTGTCTTCTTGTGGCACACTCATACTGGTTGTTAAGAAGAAAAATGGATCAATACGCTTGTGCGTTAATTACAGGGAACTAAGAATAAGAGAACAAAGAGAACAACAAAGATTAAGTACCCTCTCCCTGGCATAGAGGACCTATTTGATCAACTTAGGGAAGAAATAACGTTTTTCAAGATAGACTTACGGGCAGACTATGATCGTGAGGATGTACCAAAGATAACATCTAGAATGAGGTACGGTCATTATGAGCTAATGGTTATTTCATTCGGGCTCTCCAATGTTCATGGAGTTGATGAATGTCAAAGATTGTTCATGGAGTTGATGAATGTCAATGTTCATGGAGTTCATTCGGGCTCTCAAATGTCAAAGATTGTTTTGACACATTTATTACCGTATTCATAGATGACATCCTAGTGTATTCTAAGACGGACCAAGAACACAAGTTACACCTTTAAAAAGTCCAAACAATCTTGAGGAAAAACAAGTTCTCCAAGCGTGAAATTTGGTTACGGTAGGTCTCATTTTAGGACAAGTGTTGTCAAAGGGGGGTTTTAGTGGATCCAGCAAAAGTGAAAGTAGTCACTAAATAGGTTCTCCCAACTACCGTTACTAAGGTGTGCAGTTTCTAGGGACTGACAGGTTATTATTAACACTTCATACAGGACTTCGCCAAAATAGTCTCACCACCCACACAATTGATTAGGAAGGGCGTTCAATTTATGTGGATGGAGGCATGTGAAGCTCGCTTATAAGATGGAAGCATAGGCTAGTGTCAACCGAGTACTAACCCTTTCAGAGGGTTTAGAAGGTTATATAGTCTATAGTGACGCCTCTAAGAAAGGGTTGGGGGTGTGTGTTGATGTAACACGGGAAGGTCATCACTTGTGCATATGAAGAAATATGAGCAAAAATACCCCACTCATGACTTAGAATTAGCAACAATGGTTTTTGCACTAAAAATCTAGTGACACTATCTATAAGGGAAAATGACTCAAATTTACACTTAACATGAGAGTTTGAAGTACCTTTTAACTCAAAAGGAGCGGAACATAAGACAACAAAGGTGGCTAGAATTAGCGAATAAGAAACAAACATCTAGCATCACCCAAGAAAAAGCGAACATAGTTGTCGATGCCCTAAATTGA